GATATTATTCTAATATTTCAAAGAAGAGATTTTTTTACCTAATGAACTATCCGAAAAAGTCCGAAAGAATTCCGAAAAAGACTATTCGTTAAGATTACTCGGTATAACTTTAAGTAGATATGCAACACCCGAAAAGTCCATGCAGCACCTTTAATGTATGTAATAAGATTTTTTTATTTTATTTTTTTAGTTAGAAAAGATTGTTGACCATTTTCGCTTAGACTGATGGCGAATTATTAATAAAAGGCTAATGAAAGGCTAATGAAAAGTATTAATTATTTACCAAGAATTCTTTTATGGTCCGTTTAAAGACATTTCATTTAACATGGATTTACTTTAACGAAATTTATTATGTAACACCTTACTAATGGAATTTTTTGTTATCATAAATTCTAACCTAAAAAATACTAAAAATATTTAATACTTAGTTATGTGCCTACGTAAGTATCATTAAAGGTTAAAAATTCATCAAATTTAGTTATATGAATGTTTGTTACACTTTTGTAACTTTAATTTTACGAATAAAATTTTTTCTTTGGATAGAATTTTAAAAAGGTAAAGGTTGTTTACAGTCGATAACCAAATTACAGTAATGTTATCTTCTATTACACTTGTAATGATACATATACGTACGTATAATGATACATGTAGCATGATAATTATACTTATCAATATGTTTTTTAATTCGGTGCGGTACTGTACATATCAATTTCGAAGACATAGTCAATTATTATTTTTTTTGATAAGCACACCTATACATACGCAACATTCGCAACATACGCAACATACGTCACATCTGTAACATAGAGTAAGTCACATACGTAAGCTATGAACGAACCAATTTTTTTCTTTTTTTTTGCATTAATTAACGGGATTGGTTTTTCGATACTAACGCTTATAGTAAATGAGGAAAGGTAATCGGAGAAACCGCATATAGTATTTGTGACGTCGATCAAGTAATGCACGTGTAATAATATTTATTATGCATATATGCTAATAATGGGACTTTTTTCTACGTAATCGACAATGAACTCATAATTGCATTATCAAGATTGTTAAACTAAATTCGGTCTAAAATTTGGTGAATATTGATCTTTAAAAACATTATAACAGTAGATGATCTTTTGAAGCATTGTTAATTGGTAATTTTTACATAAGTTTTAGTTGTAGTTAATAAAGATTTATGTCTTTTTTTTTTAATTTATTCGTGACAAGTAGCGTACCAATTAATACAAGAGTGTTAAGATTGTGAGAGATACGGGGAATGAGATCAAGATAATGCCGGGATGACTTCCAAAAACGGAGAACACCATTCATGGTATGAGTAGAAAGAAGCGTACTTTATGTATAATATGTATAGCATGTATAGTACGTATAGTATGTACAGTACGTATAGCGTGTCATGAGTAGTATGAGTAGCATGAGTAGCATGAATAGCATGAAGTTAATCTAACAAATAAATACACAAGAGTTAAATTAATAGTGTTTTCGTAGGAGAACAAGGAATGCATTTTTATTTTGTTGCAATTAATACAATTCAGAAGCGAAAGATAAATTTAAAAAAGAAATAGCGATAAATAAAACGATAAACATGGATGGATTCATTGATGCAAAGATAACCAATCATCTTTAGTTTATTTTACTTACAAGATATTTTTTTAAGATCAATTAATCACGTGGATTGGATCCTGTTTGCCAAAAAGGACGAAAGAATTTTAACAATCTGTTAACTTTAAATATTTTAATGCGGTAGATGATTATTAGGTAATCATTTGCATAGTCACCATGGTTACTCAATTTGGGAATATTTTCATGGAAAAAAAATTTAACATGAGTGTTTACTCAACAAAATGAGATGTTTAAAGGTTGGTTCTAGACAGCTTATCACATGTCGCACCAGTTCTGAATTCGTTAGATTCTTTCGTCTTGCAATGAATTTATCCTGTTCTCCATAATTATCGACTGAAATCATCAACTAAAATTATCAATTATTATCAATTGAAATTATCAACTGAAATTATCAATTGAACATTGTATTATTTATATATTACGATTAGGATATTAAAGTTTTTGCATGATAAATAGAGTTACCGCGCAGGTGACGGTTGATAAAAATTTACGAAGCAAAACTATTTACGTACATGGTTTATACCCACGTCCAAAGTCGTGTTACTGTTGTTCTGGTGATTCAATATTTCCATATTTGTTATTGATTCCACTATTTTAACACAAAGAAGTGTTCTTGTTAATCATGTAACCAATTCTTTTCAAAGAACAGTCGGTCCGCGTGGTCATAGTATAAATTAATCTTAGTGCCATTATCAATGACTACATTCTTCCAATTGGTTATTATAATTGTTTACTCAGCAAATAGTTGATAGCAAATAAGTTGATAGCAAATAGTTGATATTAAATTACTATCGCTATGAATTAACGTTAATGAATGAATGATTTTTTATATACTTTTCTTATGATCATGAAGTGAAATGGTTTCGCCAATAATTAAAATGAAAATAATTAAAATGAAGGATATAGTTTCTTCTGATACAATGGGCTACAATGACTATAATGACTATAATGGCTATAATGGCGTAGTATCATTTTTAAAGTGGCGCATCAGAATATATTTGTGTCTATTGGTATATATCGATATTGGTATATATTTCTAACGCTAATACATACGTATATAGTTGTTTTATAATATTATATTGAGTTACCATATGTACTTATTAACTTTGCTAACTATGGTAATTATTTATTGCTGTTCTCCAATTTTAGACAATGGGCTCCCATTCCTTATTAGTCTAGATTAACCTCTATTACAAAATATACCTTAATTCGGAATACAGGTATAGATTGCCTCCTTTTTAAGGTAATGTTAATACATAAAAAAAAAACCCATGCGTTAGTGTTCTTACACTGATACGTACGTACGTACGTACGTACAGTACGTAAGTACGAAGAATGTGAAGTACAATGTTGATCCGTGCGACTATTACATTTGAAGTTCGATTAATCTATTGATTTCATAACAGGTAAACTTCTTAATGCTACGTAATGCTACGTAGAAGTAAAATTTTAGGGAGAGGTAAAGTTTTTATATACAATCTTGGACGATAATTGGTGGTAATGCACATTATCTACAATTATTAAGCAACGAAAGTCTAGGCATTCATAAAAAAAACATGCTTATTTTTCAACGATTCTAATTAATCTAATTAAAGTAACTTTCTCATTAAAACTTTATATGTTATTGATATAGCATCATTAATTTGGAAATACTTTCTAAATTAATACGTAACAAAAGCCATAACGATAACGATAAACGATTTACATTCAATTTTTTTACCACCCCCTGGAATTTGATGCACTTCGAAGAAACTTGATCAAATTTAAATGGTCATAGCCGATCATGTTGATCGAATTGATCATTCATCGTCGGACGAATGCATGTAAACGTTTAATTTTTTTTTTCCAGATTCTAGATGTTAATTTAACAAAGCTTTAACGACGTAACCTCTCGACAAGGTCTAAAATTTAAAGAACCACTAAGATTAATTTTGTATCCATCACTATGTTAAACTACGTTAAATTTCATCGCTGATTCGACATTTATTATGTATAACTTGACATCTTTCAATAAAGTTTTCGTAAATAAAAAATTTAATAATTAAACTAATAACAATAAACGTAATAATAACTATTATTATTGATTTTCTTTGTCCATTAAACAAGGTTTTTTTTATTAATATTAATGATTAAAAAAAAAAAAAATAAATATGACATTTCTGCTCCATCTTTCATTTTTTTTTTTTTTTTCTACAGAACAAACCATACTCAATTCATTTTCCTGCTTACCAATCGACACCCGATTTTTCACGTGATACCTACCGAAACACTTAACGATATTCACTGCACGTGCTATTAAATGTCACTCAACTTATTTGTCACTCTTTTTACTCCCATTTAAACATTTCCTATTTGTTTTTATTTTATTTTTATTTTTATTTTTTTTAGTGTATACAGTAATCTATTTATTATATTAAGTGTCGTACGACAGAATTTGTTCTAACTTCTTGAACACAGGGAAAATACTTGTGTTCAACACCACAGATCATATCAAAAAAAAGGAAGCACATTATTGTACGTACTATCAAGAACATCAATTATTTTTATAATAATAAATATGCAATTCATCTTGTCATACTTATCCTTTCTTTGATGTGAAAAATCATATTAAAAGGCTGTCAGAGTCGCTTTCCCCGATACTTGCTCTGGTCATCCCAGTTCAGTTTTTTTTCAAAGACTGCCTTGCTACCAATAATTTATCTTATTTGATCGAGTCCTTTATTCTTTGTTCAGTTATTATCCAATCGAAAGAAGGAAAGGTAAATGAATAAAACTTTTGTATAATTATAGAAAGTAACACAATTATAATTTATCAGCAATATATATTAACTATCTTTTTTTTTTTTCACTTTAAATTTATATATATAATATATATTTTTTTTACCGCCTTTTTTTTTTTTTTCTTCTTTTCACTTTGATCCATTCTCGATCATATCATACATATCGCATCCAATCCACGCATGATGTTAATTATTTATTCACCATAATTCATAGGTTGAAACGTTGGAACTCTGTAAATCATAACGTTTTCTCTAATCAAATCGAAAGAAAAAAAACATTCCTAACATTAGTTGGTGGTGACCACAAAGTCTTCCAATTAAAAATCAAAAAATCAAACATTTAAAATCAATAACTTTCTTTTATAAATATCAGAGTTTTTTTTCTATAACGATCCCCTATTACCACACATCCTTTAACCCTTTTTAATCAACAACATGAGCAACGATACTGTCAAGTTTTGTGATTGGCGTGTGGAAATTTATGACTGTCAAGGGTCAAATTTATTTTTCATTCAAGTTATGGTCTCATTCATAACCTATGCCCTACTTTCAATCTCTGGTACACTTATATTCTGTTATCGATATAGATATATGTGGCAGGGATTATTTGTTGACCATGGAAATGGAATAAGACCTTTACCTGTTGATTGTTTACTTTTCTTTTGGACGATTGCTTCATACCTTCGTGGTATTCACTCTTTGTGTATGTTAACTAATGCTTATACTCGTAATTGGCAAAAAGAAACCTTTCAGGAACTGGGTTTTACTGTTTTATGTTATGGTGCCGTTTGTTATAATATTGGTATGTATTAATACACGTAAAATATCGTATATATATATATAAGTTTATATATATATATATATATATATAAACTTATATATTCATTTTATTTTATTTATTTATTTTTTGATTAATTTATTTATTTTTTGATTAATTTATTTATTTTTTGATAAATTTATTTTTAATTGATATTTCATAGGAATTATATATACAATTCCAGTAAATTACACGAGTGGAAAACCGACCCTTAAGATCGATAGTAAAAGTGACTCAACAGAAACACCTGTACGTGATATATACCTTCCAAGACCTGTAACACTTAATTATTATCTTGCCATATGGTTACTCTTACCTACGGTGACCGTTTTTCCTTCGGCAGTTCTTTCAGGAATTTATAGAGATCTTGGGAATAATGAAGCAGCAGATCGTTGGACTTCAACACAATATATTATCTATTTTTTCATTAATATGATATTTGCTACAGTTGGAGCTTATTATGGAATTAATTTTATGTTAATACTTCGAGGTTCAATGAAAAACTTTAATCGTAAATCAACAAATTATCATCAAACAAAGAATGGTGCACGAGAAGCTCTTGAACGTCTTAAATATACTATGATATATCTTGCTGTTCTTCCCCTTATTTCCGCTCCTGTATGGGGAATGTATGGTATCTACCGTTACAAATTGATTTCTTCAATGAATTTATCAAATGTTTTATTGTCATCTATATGGCATATGGCTGGACCTCAACCTTTAATAGCTATATGTCAATATTTATTAGCAAAACGTGTTTATTTACATTTCACTGGTAAACTCACTTCATCACAAAATGAATCAGTAGGTTCACAATCAAATTTAACTCAAAATAGACCTACTTTAGCTCGTTCACCTACTTCAAACACTTTTGGTGACTATGCTACTAATGATAATAGTCCTAATTTATCGGAAGATTTTGTTATAGATTTAAAACCTATTCGAAATGATTTCAGTGATAATAATTTATTAGGTGCTGATTTGGCTGTAAGTGTCCCTGCACCAGCTTATGGATCAGAACATGACTTAGAACGACGATCTTAACAACAAACCTAAACAATGAACTTAACAACGAACTTAAACAATGAGCTTAGAAAAAAAGGCAGCCTATGATATATAGATTAATAAGTTAGGAATGTTTCCAGAGAAAAAAAAAAAAACAACGTTTTGCATAAATCATACAATCATTCACATTCACCACATTCAATCATATCATTTTTTCAAATTTTTTTTGTAATATTTTTTTTTGTTTTGTTTAAACCAAATTAAACCTTTATAAATCATGTACAATAGGGACATTTACGCGCACGCTTGTGGATTTCTTTATTTTTTATTCTTTTGTTTTATTTATTTATTTTATACATCATATTTATTTTTCCATGTTATATCTACATACAACTATATCTATTTATCTCGTCATGCCCCCCAAAAAAATTCCATAGAGTTAGAGAAAACAAAATAACGAATCCTTTTTTAAAAAACAAAATCTTGTGAATAGTTTTTTTTCTGTAGATTTGTTCATATGCATTTTTTTTAGTTTTTTTTTTCTATTATTTTATTTATTTTTATTTTTGATTATACAGATACAGTACGTATACGTACGTATACGTACGTATACGTACATAAGTGTCTATATAATTCTTTATCAATTCTTTATCAATTCTTTATCAAATTCTTTATCAATTCTTTGGCAATTCTTTGTCATGTTATTTATACCTTTATCAATTTTCCTCATTGGTATCAATTTCCTCATTGGCATCAAATTTCCTCATTGGCATTGAAAAACCCGTTTATCAACATACCCACATACTCATCCGCATACGTACTCACCCACATACTTATCCACATTCTATTTCCGATTTTTGACTCTATTTTTAACATTTGCGGCGCGAAAAAAGGTTCTCTACATTGTTTTATAGGTTCTACAGGCGCATATATATATATATATATATCTTCCATTCATTCATTCATTCACTCATTGTACAATTTTGCATCTTTTTGGTTGACTTTTACATGTTTATAGTATATATATATTTATTATTTATTATTTATTTATGACAATACATACATACAGTAAAGGCTTTATTGACATGAAAGAAAGGGTTTAAATAATTTGGTTATATATTTTTCAATTTTCATAAACAGAGAAATACAGTTGAACTGTTTTTTTTTTTATTTTCTAATAGACTAGTTACGTACATTTTGACAAAATATAGATCATGTATATATTTGTCAAAAACTAAAGAACAAAAAAATAAATAAAAAAAAAAAAATACCAAAAAAAAATACCAAAAAAAACAAAATTAAAAAATAATTTTTAGAAAAAATGTAACTTTTTTTTTTTTTTTTACAATCCCTAAAGGTTCTTAGAAGCTCTTAGAAACTCTTTGAGGAGAAAGGGTGTTTGTTGATCAACGCCTAGATTCGGATTTCGGAAGACAAGGTCTAAATATTAAAAATTATTAAAAATCACGCCAAAAAAAAACAATGTATTACCGTTACGCACATACGCATATATACGCATATATACGCATATATACGCATATATACGCATATAAAATTGCATAACCATGTATTACACCAATACATCAATACAGGATTTCAAGGTTTTTTTTTTTTGATAAGAATTCAAAATCAGCCAAATAGCCAAAATGCAGGCGTAATCTGATCATGAAACATGTGACATAAATTGTGGGGAAAGATGGCGTCTGTACTGTACGTACTGTATGTATCTACAGTATGTATGTTAAGTTCTTATTATAAATGTGCATGCATGCGAATAAGAATGACATGAAAATTGAATGTTGTATGCGTAATTTTTTCTTTGAAAAGCTGTTATGTTATAACAGTATATTTATTCAAGTTCATAACAGTATATTTATTCAAGATAATAACAGTATATACATGAATATTTATTTATTCAAGTTAAAGAACACATACGTAATAAATCACACATTAATGTTTAACAAATGTTTAACTATAAAGTTAATAAAGGTTAAATTAACCGCAGTCACGTTTAACATTAAAACGTTAACCACCACGTTTAATAATGGAGAATTAAATGAGATCTTACGTACTACCCTTGTTACCTAGATCGACTATAAACTATAAACTAACATATAACTAAAATTAAAAGTTGATCTAAATATAAATTTACGTCTTACCGTTTCCTAAATATCGGGTAATATAAGGCGCTTACTGTACCGGCGTACAGAAATCCAGATACTGCTGTACTGCTGTACTGTATTTTTTATTCTATATATGTACAGTTGTACATAATACAATGTAATTTTTAAGCCTGAACAAAGAAGCAAAAATCTTTGATAAATCTTTGATACGTCATACAAAATGTCATGTGTGTGATAATTAACGCCCATGCGGACCAAATGATCAAATATACAGATATAACAATGACATTTCACATACTAACGAGACCATACATGGAAAGTGATGAACAAAGACACTCTTTTAACAAAGACAACGAAACATATTTGTATTACAAAAATGAAAAATGCTAAAAAAAATAATAAATATTTGTGTTTGATTAGCACATCACTTTTTAACAAAGTCTTTGTAAGCGTGAAAATTTCTAATTCTATTTGAAGTTGTATCGGAGAATCTTTAAATACCTCTTTGTCTTCGGCATCACGTATGTTGATGCATAATGTATATCATATTCCCAATCATGTAAGAAATATGTTTGATATGTCTGATGTCGTAAAGCTACTGTATTCTATAATAAAAAATAAATTTTAATACGTAAAAAATGCATTTACATAACAAGATCAAACTTATTAGTAATCTTTTATCACGTTCTTTAACCTTTATAAAAATATAATGGAAATAATATATCTGATACATCTGATACATCTGAAACATCTGATTTATCTGATATATCTGATATAATGCTCAAATGAAATAATAATGACTAAATAATGGATCATAATAATGACCAAACAATGATCAATGAAAATAAATTCCGGAATGAATACTACTGATTTTAAAGTTTGATTATTATTACAACGGTATTATTATTATTACAACGGTATTATTACTACTACATTATTGTTATTAGTTTATTTATTATTTTATTTATTTGAATATACAAATATATATCAAATACATATCAATATCAGTTAATGACGTTAATGTTTAACCTATTCAAAAACTACTATTATGTTATAATTTCAGAATATTCAAACCATTTATATAAAATTTTCTTTGGATTTTAGAAATAAAGTTTTCGACGTTTTTTATGACAATATACAGTAATATAGAGTTATATGATGCGAAACATTTAATGATTTAACAATGAATTAACAATGATTTAACAATGAATTAACAATGAATTAACAATGAATTAACAATGATTTAACAATGAAAAATTTATCAATACGTAAACACAATATAAAATATTTCCTGAATTGTAAGAGTAATATATTCTGCAGGGTTTCTAAAGTATTCATATTGTTTATGCAAGCTGTCATTATTTAATGGTAAATACCGAGAATACCGAATTGAAATCTTGAAAATATTTGAAAAAATACTAGAAATATCTGTATATCTGTATATTGTAAATAATCAAAAAAAATATCGTAAACATTTGCATTATCTGTTATGCCTCTGTATGTAGATCGATCTATGTACAGTACGTACAATACCATATTTGCAATAAGATTCTCCAAATTTAGAAATTTAAAATTATACACATTTCTTATTGTAGACATTTCTATTGTATAATCACTTAATACGTAAAAAAGTAAGAATCTAAAAGATGTGAATATGATTTTTTAAACATTGTGCATGGTTTAAAGTATAGAATACTTTGCAGACTTTGCATTTGATGCATTTGATGCAGAAAATGTGCATTTAAAGCAGAGAACTTGCATGTGACGTAGAAAATGTGTACGTATTAACGCATTCGATACATTCGATACCAATACAGAGAATTTTGACCATAATGTCACTTTATGTCATTGTTGAATGTGAAACGCACAACATAACTATAACTTTATAATTATTTATTTATGGCACTCATCAAGAGGTTCCTGATATGCCTTGACCCAGGAACCAAGGAGATCCCGTTTTTTTTATCAAACGAACAGGTTCGTGTAAACCTGTTATTTTTTAATTTACCTTGGTCATTTACCTTATTAGAGTAAAAAATGATTTCCTAATTTTCCTAATGCAGAATGTAGATCAACAGATCATTCACGTGAAGTTTTTTCTACTTATATATAAAAATTTAATTTTGTTTCTCCGTAAAAAAAACAAAAATCTTTGATTATGCCCTTATGTAAAACTAACGAAAGTAATAATTACCGTATTAAAAGTATTAAAAGTATACGTTTTGATTATTCTTGATTTTATGAAAAACGCCTTATCTAATTTATATTAAGACTTTCTCTTTTTATATTTTTTATATTTTACATACAAATTCCAATTTCATAGAAAACATAGGAAGGCAATATTCATCCTTTCATCCTTGGATTAGAATAGATCTTGGAGAAATTATTTTTTTACCAAAGAATGAATATATTTCAACGAAAAGATGTAAACATATCGAGTTACTATTTAAATGGATCACCAAAGTCATTATCATCGGATTTAATACTTCTTACTTTATCGAGGAGGTCCAAATTCCTTTGGATCAAATTATTGGAATTAAAATTATAAATAAAAATATGCTTGAGATTTCTTTATGTCCAAGTTTTTCTAAACACGTGAATATCCTTTTTTTTGATTTTACGAGTAGTGAATGAGTGATACAGGTGGAATTATTATTTTTCTTTTTTTACTTATTATTCTTCCTATTAAACTTATTACATATACATATACATCTATATTTATATATATTTTTTAAGTACTTGTGTCGTATTATAGCTGATGATGGCAAAATAACTTCTTCGGTAATTGATAATGATCCAACAGGTGGTCGAATGAACGATACTACTTCCCTGGTGCTTGTTCCTTGTCAAAAAGTTCATCCAAAAACACTTGATATTTTCTGTGTCGGGGTTCAAAAGTTTCGCTTGAATAGTTCATCAAAAGTTCTGAAGAATGTAAATTCAAATGTAAATGTTTTCCTCTTTATCTAAATAAAGTGCCTTCTTTTTTAACACTACTGATTTACATTTTGGTTTAATAAAGGCAAATCACGACGTATTGCCTGATAATGATAAATGTTTAGTGGAGGTTAACTACTATTTTTACGAATATTTTGTCAAGTTATACGATTTTTATCAGGTTCATGCATCATCCAACTTATTGCTTAATAACATCAGGAAACCTTTAATCCTTTATATGATCAAAATTCTGAAAGTGATATGGTAAAAGAATTTTTTTAATAAATTTTTTTTTTTTGGAGAATAATCAAATTTAAATTAAATTTTTTAATATCATTATTTCTCTTTCTCATTTCTTTCATATCTTTCGTACCTCATATCTTTCGCATCTCATATCTTTCACGTATATCACGTATCTTTCATGTATATCGCGTATCTTTCGCGTATTATTCACGTTAAATCAGTTCTATATAACTTTTCATCTGTTGACTCATACTCGCGTGTTATTAGTTCCATCTACAATCTCACTGGCTGATTTATTTGTAAAGATTCAATCTCGTTTTATGACAACTATTGAAAGTTTTGAATATAAAAATGTATATGGTGATTTTATTACTGTTGAATGTGAAGAAGATTGGAAAATTGCAAAAGTTGATCGTGATATTGTTGATAAAATGAGAATTATTGTTAGAGTTTCATCAAAGTGATTGATTGGATTACAGAATTAGTTAGGATATTAGTTGGGATGAATTAATTATATAAGTATAAATACAATTTAATACTTTTCAACTTAAAAAAATTATCTGCTTGATTTTTTTTTCTTGATTTAATGAAATTCGCATAACACAGTAAAATAAGGCGCGGTTTGTAATTAATAATATTTAAATATACTGTAGATATATTTAAAAGTCTAATGCGGTCAAAAAAATTGTATTTGAACATTAATTTTATAAATGTCATTTATGGGTGAAATATACTAAGTAGAATCTTTATACAAATTAGCATAACAATAAATTTATGTTTAAAGTTAGTTGAATTAATATAATAGTTATAATTTTATTGATTATTATCTAAAAACTTTGATTCAATAAATATTCGAATTTTCAATTTGATATTAGAATTTTAATATATGTAATAAATAATAAATGCCTACTAAAAGTTTAATTTTTCAAAAAAATATATAAATTTATAATAAAAATGAAATCAATTTTATCAATTTTAAAATAACAGATTAAAAAAATTAAAAATTTAATTATTTTGTTATAATACTTTAGTATGCACTTTATTCATCAATTATTTAGTAATTCATTACTAAAACTATTACACAAAAAAAAGTTTATCTAATATAAAATTGGGTTTAAGCTATGTTAAATCATTACTACGTAATGAACATACATTTAAACATTTTATTATCTTCAAATTTGTCACATACTATATATATATACATATATAATGAAAACTAGACAGTGTCACATGAAAAAGGCACAAAGTTGTACTTTAACTTTGATTCTAATACTGCATTCTAATTAGTAATACACTCTTTAAATAAATAGTTAGGATGCCAAGTTTGAGATGAAAATTTGTAAATCTTAAATGAGAAAAATAAAAATATGCTTAATTGATAACCTCTAGAGGTGCAGCCGTTATATTGTAAAGGACCTAGATTAGCATTACTCAATATCGATATAGAATAATGGACGGTATTATCGGAGGAGGATCACTAGAACATACAACGTTTCATCATTAATATATATCTACATATATATATAAAGGTTATTTCTTATCCCAATGTCAAATGTCAAAGTAGAAGTTGGATGTCATTTGAACTCTTCTCATCATAAAGAGAATTCTCATAACTTGTCCTAATTAATAAATCATTCTGTTTCATAAATTCTAAGATTAAAATTATTATAAAATTTCGGTAATATCTGCGGAGTTTACAAATTTTACATATACTTTAAATTTCATAAGTTCATAAGAACCAGCCCTATGAAATTCATGATCACTTGAATGTCATTTCCACGATGCACCCCAACTAAGCTAACATCATGAGTTGTAACTATGAGTCCTCCGCTTCGCTACGGACAATGAGATACGTAATTCGATATTAAAGTAATAGTCACGGCAAGTTGCGGAATTATGTCTGCATTTAGACATTATTTTTTATCGTTATACGTATTGGAGTGTTCACAAAATCTTGATCGATTTTGACCAATCAAATTTTAAGATCAGCCTGATCTTGAAATTTGATTGGTCAAAATCGATCAAGATTTTGTGCACTCGATGTTGAATACGCTATCCATATAGAATGTAATGTAAATTTTGCAATAATTATTATTTTTAGAGAAATATTGTTCACTAGAATTGAATATTTTACATAGCAATATAAACAATATAAATTTATTCACATGTAAATCATTTATGACACGTAAATATTTTTTGGTAAATATACTTTAAAACAGTTAAATGAAATACAATTTAAAAATTAATATTTCACGCCTAAATTCTCGTTAAAGAATTTTACAGTAATATCAACAACTTCGTTTACACTTTTAACATTATTTTCATTGGTGAAATCACCCCTGGCACCTGCGAAACCATGATGCAAATCAAATCTACGATGAACAAGTTTGCTACCAAATGGCTTGCTGGTAAGAATTGGATTTTTGAAATATAAGTTTTCCTAATAAATTTTAATTAAAAAAAATAATAATTGTGTGAAAATACTGTTTTTGCGTTAATAAACAACCATTTATTTCCAGATAAACTTACAAGATCAGGTTCATCTTTAGAAGGTAAAAATGCAATAGGACATTTACTCTCCTTAAAGTCCTCGATTGATAACATTGCAGGATGAATTAATACACAACCATCAAATGTAGGATCCTTGGACATTTTAGAAGCGATCATTCCACCCCAACAAAATCCAACATATCCAAAATTCTGAACACCATGTTCCTTGCGAAGATGTTCTACAACTTGAGTGGTGAGTTGTTGAACTTCTTCAGGAGGCGCATTTTCACCTAACCATTTACCTAATATTTCTCTTTAATTAATTGAAGATGTTGATGAAAAGATGTCATTATAGAAAAGTTTTAAAATTTATAAACTCAACATATTCAACATGTATTAATGTTTAAAAAAAAAAAAAAAAATCAATATTTTTTCTTTTACCTATAATTATCTTTCTTAAAGTTTTCAGGATTCCAAGAAGCCCCTCGGAAATAATCAGGTAATGCAACAAGGAAACCTATTAAATTAAATTCGAAAAATCATGTACTGCCAACAGTGACAATAGAAATTTATGAAATTTTAGCACGAACCTTGACTTCCCAATATATCACAAAATTGTTTTACATTTTCATGAAATCCATAAACATCATAACAAATTATAATCGCATTTTTAGTTTGAGCTTTAGCGAATGAGTCAGGAACCACAGTATAGATATCTAAGTTGGAAACATTTTTAATTACACCCTTTGGCGAGTAACTACTAACTACCGGAGGAATTGTTCTACAAGAAGAAGCTATCGACATCTTGGTCAAGACTGGTAAAAAAAATTTTGTTTTGTTTTCAATTATATACTTATTAAAGATTTTATGACCGGTTATTGTTGTGCAACGAGTACTTAATCTTTTTCCCAATTCAAATGTATTCTTAACGTAGCGTTTTGTAAAAGAGGAAAAATAGTGTGTCACAAAAACGGCTGCATGGTTTACCCATTTTCTACTTGTGATCATATTTTAAACGTTTAAGCTATTCTTAATAACGACAATGGTTCTATTTATACTGGGCATTTAAAAAAAAAAAAAAATTCTGGGCCAAGATTTGTCGATCTTTATTAAATGTTACACAACTCTTTTTTGTTCATCCGAAATCCAAAAGTTTTAACAATCGCCTAACGCTAACGTTAAATTTTGACGTTAAGGATACTGTACCTCAAAAAAATACCTGATCAAATTCTGCATTTAAGCACACTTTCTAATTATAGAAATTCATATAACTCAAAAAATTACCCTGGAATATTGCAAATGATCGAAATAATTCCAAGTATTCGAATTTGGCAAATGATCAGATTATTTTTACGTAATTCTATTCATTATTGTTATTAGAAAACTAGTTTATACGCATCGGCAAGTACACTTAGGGATGTTATAGTCCGGTCCGGTCTAGTCCATAAAAGACCGTTTGCATATTTTAACTGTTAATTTGAGGACCGGACCGGACCAAACCTGACTAAAGATCATAATTGGGACCGTTATCAGAACAAAAAGGGCTATTACAAGACGAACTAATTTATACGTATGTATTTTTATTTTAAAAATACAATGCGACCAATTCGACTTATACAGTATATATATATATATATATATATTAAAAAAAAATATAATACGTAATACATTATGCTTATCGCTTTTTTCTTAAACTAAACACTATGCATATTTATAATAAACATTAATACCGGTATTTCATTAATTATATTTTATGTTATCGTTATACCCTACTCAATTTGTACGCCTATTGTTCACCGATTAAATTTATAATCTAACTTTTTACGCACAAAGATGCCCTAGCAGTTTCCAGATGTATTCTATTTCTTGTTTTTAAAATAGTATGACCAGCCACCGAAAACATTTGTTCACATGCGACACTTGTCACTTGTATAGATAAGAAATCACGAGTTATTCTTCAGAACTTTTGGAAAAATTCATCTTGAATAATTAATCTAATTGTAATGCCATATGTAAAATAATTTCAAGAGATTGAAATTACATGAAAATTTTATTTTTAATCTTTTTATAAGCAAACCAAATATATAATTAACTTTTAAATCAATAATAAATCAACGTTTTTTAAAAATTAGATTTATTAGATCTAAACTATTTTTTAAAACAGAATTGGAACTTGGACTGTATTTAATCAAGACTATTAGGAAGTTCAGATGCAATATAATCAATAAAGAATGTAACAAATATAGTATTACTATTAGAAAGTTCTAAATCTGGAATTTGGAATATGCTTATGGGTTAATAGTTATAAAATAATAATCTGTTATATCAGAATTTAATAAAAATATATAAAACTTCTTAGAAGTTAATGTTTATAGCTTAGATAGAATTAAAAGAATTTTTAAATAATCAATTAAGTTAGTAGAGATATAGTATATAATTTTTAAAATATTGTATTTTTTAGTTTTAGTTTCTTTTTTTAGTTTAGTTTAAATCAAGTAATTAAAATAAACAAACTAGAATTAATAGATATATAGATATAATTAGATATATAAATATTAGCTATTAATTAAAAAAATTAAGTCTTTAATAAATTAAAGATCCAAAAAAAGATCAAGTTTACTAAAGCTAGTTACATCTAAATATAAACTAAATAAGCATTTTTAATTAATATTTTTTTCTAATTTATCTATTTTATTCTTGTTTATTTGTGATTAAATTATATTAAATATTATAAAAATTTTTCTTAGATTATAGCTAATTTGATTAAGACTAAAACTCATTTATCATATAGCACTGCTTATAGTATCTTCATATAATAATATCCTATGATTAAAACCTGGGTATTATTAACTATCCTATTGTTCATTTATTATTTTTTATATGAATATCTCTCAAATATAGTACCTGGTTCTATACAAAGTATCTACAGATACTAATTAATTTCAAAAATCAGTTTTGAATAAGACCGCAGATATTATAAGCAGTGCTATATAGCAGTGTTGTACATTGAACATATCCACACTAAGTAAATGTTCAACATCCAAGATTGTTTAAAATTGTTAAAACTTATATCCAAAGTTTAAATAATTAATAAAATAAATTAAATAATATATAATTATATATTTTTTTAAATGCTAGATTCATTTATAAACAAATTAAAATAGATTATCTTAATAAAATTTTGAGTAATTTTGATTTGAAAAAATGTTTAAAAGTGTTCAAAAGTATCCACATAACAACACTGCTATATGGTATAAGGTAGAAAGGGGTAATTTGATGAAGAAAGGTAATTTGGTGAATCTGAATATCTCATATTATAGTAATTAAAATTGAATAATTTTTATATCATTCGATTTGTCTTAATGAAACGAATCGTATAGTATAAAGCTCATCCGATTCTGATCACCAGAACACAAGATATCATTGATTATTTGCCAAGTTTACACTTTATCAAAATTGCCCTTGAGAATTATTTCATGCAGCATATTATTGATGATATCTTGTAATCCAGTGATCAGAATTAGGTGATTTTTGTATCATTTGATTCATCTCATCAAGACGAATTAAATGGTATAAAAATTATTTGATTATAATTGCTAGACTATATAAGATATTACCAATTTGTCAAATTACCCCTACTTCTCTAAAATTTAAGCTTTTTGATATGATGTATAATCTCATTTAATGTCACCTTAAAAACAAGGTTTATATTACTAATTTTATATAAAAATAATTCTAAATTATGTATAAAGTTTAAACAAAAAAATAAAAAAATTTAATATTAATAAAATAAAAAGGATTTATATTAGTTATTTTAACATAGTCAAATTACCACTTTCTACTTTATGTTTTTTATTTACTAGATATAATCTGCTTTAGTAGTATTTGGTTTCTTACCAAATCTTTAACTTACTAAAGACTTATTTCTTGTTGTTTATTAGCTAGCAGCTACATTGTTTATTAAGAAGCAAAATAAGAAAGTAAAACAAAACAAACTAAAAAAAACAGTAATATAAAAAATTATGTTAAATATATACAAATAAAAAAAAATAAGTGAGGAAAGTATCAAAAACAAAAATAAAAACAATTTTATCTATTCTAATATTACTATTATAAGCTTATACTGTAGGTGGCTTAAAAAATTATATACTACTAGACAAATTAATTTTTACTTATATTACGCGGAGGACCATTTATATGATGGTCAGACCCAACGTACAGGGCAGACTATGGAATCCTGTGCAGCTGTGAGAACCGAGCTTGAAACGGCGAACGACCTTGTAGAAGACAACTCTATTACTGGCAAATCATTTTCAACATCTTTAGACCCCTATGATGAGCCAACCCAACATACTAACTATCCAGAGACAAATACTGTCTATATCAATGAACCACACATAATCACATACAATCTTAGAACATGTTAT